CTGGCAGACAACAGATTCAGGCTGTTGTTGGGAAACATTTTGCTTTTTTGCTTATTGTGGTTTAGTGGTTGAAATCCAACCACTGAACTGCTAAAATTCAAATTTTTGCTCCCCTCCCAACGTCAACCAAGAGATTCCGAAGGTCGTTGTGGCTCAGAAGGGTGGGCGAAAGTAGCATGGCACGCTCTTCCATCTCCAGCTTGCTGGTGGTGTGCACCTTGCTCGTTGCATCGCGGTTCTGCTTCATAGGCGGATTCTCGGCAGCACCGAGGAGCCTGACCAGGCGTGAGGCGACCCAAGTCGGCACGGTGGAGGTCGAGGTGACAGATGTCGCTTCTGAGAAGAACTCGTCCTTGCCAGCAGCGAGCGCGACCAAATCGGAGGAGGAGAAGCTGATCCGTGCAGCAGCTAAAACGGCAGAAACCAAGCAACGAGTGGCGGAAAAGAAGCAGAGGCTGCAGGCCGAAGCACAGAGAACGGCATCAGAGTCAGGAGAGAGTGACTTTGAATTGATTGATTGGATGGCATATGCTGCAGAAGCGAAATCTATGGCAGAGGAGGCGGGAAAGGAAGCCCAGAAGCCTGGAAAGGAAAGGGCATTTTTCCGAGCAAAGGAGTTGGGCTTCCAGGCAGCAGGTGCTGGACTGGAGGCTTTGGCTGGTCTTCCCCCGCTGGTTCCCGTGGCGGGTGCAGCTGCCTTGGCCTTGCTCTTGCTGATTGGCCTGGCCTCTCCGCGTGACAAGCCGGCCCCGCCCCCGGCGGTGAGAGCTCCTGTGGCGTCAGTGATCAGTGTTGAGACTTCCAAGACGGCGCCTTCCATGCCTCCAGCAGCTTCTGTGGCGACATCGACGGCTACTCGAGCAGCTGCTACTGCCGCCGCGCCGGCAGACTTGCCGTGGGCGCGCAGCCTGGCCAGCACTGCCGCGAGCGCGCTACGCTCAGCGGCAGATGGGCTTCCTGTGGCGGAGAAGGTGGTGGAGCAGGAGCTGCCGGTTGCCCAATCAGCGCTGCAGTGGGCCTCCGGGGTCACTCCCGACAATGCAAAGGAGAAGGTGGAGAAGGAAGCGGTGCCTGCGTTGGGCCGAGCTGCCGCAGATGCGGTGCGTGCCGGATTGCGGGTGGGTTCAAGTGGCCTCGACTTAGTGGGCAAGAACCTGCCAGCCGCAGAGCAAGCCGTGGGCTCGGCAGTGGACAAAGGCTTGCCCTACTTCCAATCAGCCCTGCACGAAGCGGCTTCCAATGCCCGGCGCCTGTCCACGCAGAAGCTGGATCTTCCAGAGCAGGAAGCCGTACAGGGCGTGGCGGCTGCAGCGCCAGGTCTCCTGAACGCCGCAGCCAACTTCTTGGATCTCAGCGCGGACGCGGCGCCCCAAGTGAAGTCCGCCGTGGGCTTTGCCACCGGGGCCGTGACGCCCCTGGCGCAGACTGCGCTGTCCGTGGCCTCCAACTTGGCGGACAAGGCGGCGGACGTGCCGCAGTCCACGGTGGAAGAAGGCGTGGTGTTCTTTTTTTTGCTCATTGCGTTTTTTGTGTGGTTGAATTGTTGAATTCTATTTGGGAATTCCAACCCACTGATTTTTTTTTTTTTTTTTTAATTATCATTTTTTTTTTTTAAAAAAAATATTTATTTATTTATTTCCCCCCTGGTTTTCAACGCTCAAGGCGTCTCCAAGCTCGTGGACACCGTGAAGACGGTGCCCGAGGCGGCGGAAGGCGCGCGCCAGCTCTTGGCCGAGCTGAAGTAGCTGAAGGAACCGAAGGTGAGCCGGCTCCAAACATCCCGGGGGTTGGTAAGGGACCCGATGCTCCACCCTTCTCAGGTTTTTCATGTTTTTCAGGTTTTCCGTTTTTTTTTTTTAAACCCGTGGTTCTGGGCAGACCGTTATTTTTGTGCCGGGGTTTGATTGTGACTCAGGTGACAGCTTTGTGATGATTCCACTTTTTGCATGATCTACTTCTGCCTTTTCCCAGTGATGCAGTCGCATGCAATTGGCATGACAGATTGTTTTTGAAGGTCAAGGAAGCATAATGGAGGGCACGTGCACAATTTTCCCACATCCACGCAGCGTGTCTTCCTAATGCGATCAGCAGAGCCAAGTGTCGACAAAAAGAAACCATGCTGAGTTGCGATCCTTGCGCAAATAGACATTTTTCTTTAATTGTCCGTCAGCATTACGGCAACTTTCCCGTGCATGCCTGGGCTTGCTTGTTGCTACCAACATGCTGGCTTTTGTGCTCAAGTCTGCGTGGCTATGCGCCTCTGGACTGTCTGGTTGCTGTCAATTGCATTGGCCAAAAAAGGTAAGCATGAAGTTGTGTCACTGACAGATGGGGAGCCAAATGTCGGCAAGAACGAAAAGGCCGGAATCCAGCAGAGTCGAGCAACATGACAGTGCGGGCAAGGGCTTGTTTTCTCAATACATGCTGACGTGATCAGACATCGCTCGAAATCGAGGCGCTCAATCAGACGTTGAACTCCACCAGATTCTGGGTGGTGAACTTCAATTCGCTGGATGCTCAGCTGACACAACTTGACATAACTTGAGTTTGTGTCGTATGTTTCTACTGCGTCCGAGGCTCCGACCCACATGCAAGTCTTGCGCGGATCTCGCAGTGGCGGTGCAAAAGGCCCACTGACAGCAACTCGCAACTTGCGTTGATCTAGGTCCCCAAATGGTTGTGCCCTTTGACCAACTTTTTTGGGGGAGGGTTCCCCTACTAAAGTAGACTACAGAAAAAAGGGTACCCTTATTCTAATCTATCTGCTGGAGGACCTAGTGATTGTCACTGACACTCCAATTGCAGTGCGACTTGAGAGTGGCTTGAACTTCCCTTGACTGCCTCTTGTGAGTCGCCAAACGGCTTTTTGCTTGTCGCTTGGGTTGTAGTTGGGCACTAGTTGAGTATGTGTGTGTGCAAATCTGTTCTCACTGGGGTACTTGGCGTGTCAGGAAAGAGCAAATCAATTCGATCAATCATTCACGTTCACCAAGGCTGCGAAGAAGCTGAAGAAGAGAGGTGTCCGCTGTGGGATGATCGATGCAGACCTTTCGGTGAACCTCGGCGCAACAGCCAGGAACAATGTGACCAGTGCCCCGGCCGATTTTTATGAATGGACATGAAGGATTGAATGTCATTTTCTGAACCAAGGCATACCCACATTGGTCTTCTTTCGTGGTGGAATAGCTCTGTCGAAGCTCGAGGGCAATCAATCAGCTTTTAGCATCGATCAATGGGTGCGCCGGCTACATGCTGTCGCGATGTGGCTGTGGGTCAAAACCAATGGTACCATTTTGGGGTAGGTGCACCACCCATTTTAGTCTGTTTTAGCGGGGATTGGGATGTTCACTGGGGGTACCGGATTTTGTCTCCCACAGCCATGTGAGAGACACTTTGGGGGTTCTGCAACTGTGTCAGGTGAAGGCAGTCGCTGGTCCTGAGGTTGAAGTCTTCGATGCCAAGCTGAAATTCTGGTTCTGGCGATTCGATAATACTAATTGCAGATTCAGTGGAACAAGACATCTTCAAGTTGGGAATGAGCATGCCTGGTGTTGCTTCAGACATGTTTTTATTGACTCAGACCTTGGATTTCCGGCTCCCTTTTGGAGAATTTAAGTAGGTGCACCAAGTCTGCGCTACAGGTGCAGATACCGCCTGTCACAGATGCACGATATGATATGAGTCTTACCAGTAAGACAATCCACTGCATGTGCTGATTTGATCTTTGCGGTCAAGGACACTCAAGAAGCCTTCAACACGGCTGTCAAGAAGCGCAAGACGTCTGAGACGATGTTTGCAGCAACGGGTGGACCGGGGTTGCAGGACAGCCAAGCGGTCTTGATGTTCAGCGCGGAACCAAGTGCCAGGAGTTGTTGGACCTCGTGGCTTTGAAAGGTCACAGAGATGGCTGGGGTTCAAGGACATGCACATCTCGCGTTGCAAGATGCTTCGAAGCACAGCTAGGATACGCTATCTGTTTTGGTCCGACGGCGGCACGGGTATGTGCAGCACCTAGCACACGATGGACTGAAGCCCTCAATACTCTTCTTCAGTGCAGGCCATTTGCTGCTGTCTATCGGGGTGTCAATGAAATGGTGCCACTGGCATGTTGTGCTGGTGTCTGTGAATTCTTTGATGACGCCTTGCAACTATGCCCTATGGCCAGGAGCACTTTGACGTATCTGGAAAAGTTAGTTCCGAGATGATGGAGGAATTTCTGAGAGACAACTCTTTGCGCAGGCCTTATCCATGTCAACCTGAAAGCTCAGCCTGTGATAGAGTTGAGGCCGCTTTTCGGGCAAGCGCACGCCTCGGGGAAAATTATCGCGCTTCCGCGGCCGGCGACCGCTCGCGGCGAGCCAACTTGAGGCCACGGCAGACGACTTGGCGAATGTTTTCGGGTCAGGGACCAAGGCAGGGCCCAAAAGACTCCTGCGGAATGTTTGTACCGCTGAAGCTGGCGGAAGGGCCGTTTGCTATCTCCGGAGTGGCATGGTCCTTTGGATTCAAAGACAACATCAGACGGAGAGGGAAACACACGAACGGAAGCCTCCAGCGTCCAGGGCAACGTTTTCGTTTGCTTCGACCCAGAGACCTTCGACACGCAGGTCAAGAAGTGCGCTTTGGATCCCCTCTGCGCTCGCAGGCGCCAGCGGCCAAGATGTCACTGAGGTATTCCAGGATCTTCTACAAAGCCGCAAAGAAATGGCGGGGATATGGATTTTCGTATCTGAATGGCCGTGATCCAGTGGGCATGCTTCTCAATATCGACTGCAAGGAGGACTGGTTGTCCAAGCTTCGTGAGGTGAATATATCCAAAGAGCCTGGTAGAAACATGCAAGGTGGCTGTGCACATGTATGTTGGTTTTGAACCCAGGAGTTCCCTTCGGCAACACTGAAGCCACTGTCGAAGCCAATCAAGTCCTATTTTTATTCCTTTGCCTCGCTGGGGAGCGAGCTCAACGAGAAGCATGTTAACGCGCAACCTGGCAGAAGTTTGACTTGGATTGCAGAGGTACTGCCTCATCAGGTTATGCAGGCGTCCTGTTGACCCCATAGAAAGCAACCCCAGTTCATTAAAAGGGGGATCCTGGGTTTAGTGGGGAAGCGTCACTTTTGGAGCGGGACACCCCCTCTTAAGCTGGGGTTGATGAGTATGGGGCCAACATCACTGTTTGCACAGCAGCAACATCGGGCGTGAGAAGTGCTGGACGGGATGCTGTCACTGAGGTTTATGAAGCAGTCCCTCGCAAGTCATCGCGCTGCGGCATCTGAGTTGTAGTGGCGGATTTGTGTGCAAATGGAACTGAACCTGTAAATAGACATGTTGGCAACTTCAAAGAAACGGTTGCCAAAGAATTTCTCACTTGCATTGCAAAAGAGGACTTGACGAGGGATGCCTGAAGAGCAGATCTCTTGCAAGGCATTCCATGTTTCATTGCCCAGAGAGCAGTTGCAAGCGGATGCAAGCAAGGCCACTTTCTGCCTCCTTGATAGGGTCACGGGGTCGTCTGTGCATTCAATCCTGGTGTCGTTTCTGCATTCAATCCTGGCGTCGTTTGTGCAGTCAATGCTTTTTGGGCTCACAGACATGATAATGGACTTGGTGATTTTGGTATGAAAACTGCACGAGTTCTATGAAGCTGCTTTTCGATCACAAGTTGCTGACAAACACATGTGTCGTGATGAGTGTGCGTGTTTCTTGGAACGTGTTCTTTGAACCAATTGCTGTCTGAGATGTGATGGGCGCAGCTCTGCGATAGCTAGCTTTTCCCCCCGCCCACCCAGCACAGCGCACGTACCACCCCCCTCCCCCCGGTCACGCAGTGACACGCAGTGTGCTTCGACCCCTGCTCCCCTCCCACTTTGTCCCGTGCAGCACGCCTTGTCCCCCACCCGCTCCCAGCCTAGTGCACGCGCGCCCTTTGCTGTGGTGGACACTTCCGGCCGTGAATGCGCGAATGGCCCCAACATCGCGTGCGCAAATGACCCGGCGGCATTGAATGCGCGAATGACTCCCATATTGCGTGCGGAGATGACTCTGCCACCCCTTGATAGTGTCGGATGAACAAAAATAACATGTGCTGAAACCATCGGAGCCACAATCAAATCCCGGGCAATTGGAGGGTAGTAAGGGTCAATCGTGGCCATACATGGGGTGCAGATGTCCGGCTTTTCAATTCTTTACATGGTTGTGATTACGCGGAGTTTGATACCGATCGGCCGATTGGTTTCGCCTCATCTCATCTTGCCAATAGCTGCCCGAGGATCTTTGCCCAACAATATTTTTTAAGCGAGACCGCCGTGCCAACGTCTTGATGAGATCAAATATATTTGTTGTACAGGCAACAACAACTTTTGATGGTATGGACTTTGGCAACAGAAGAGCTAAACTGATCATTGTCAAGCCTTCTTTCGTGAAGGTTGCTATGGCCGCCAAAATGGGAAATCCTCGTAATGGTCATGGAAGGAATCATTCGTGATCTTGGCCGCTCCACGTCGTGATGATGGAGCTGTTGCATATACAGATCCGGCTTCACTTGCCATACCGTCAGCCGATCAAACCATCAGTGTTTTGACATTTTGAAGCTGCAAAAGGATGGTGCCAACAATGCCAGACAAGAAAAGCTGTCATGCGAATGACTGGACCCATTCCCCAGGCACAAAGAAGTACAAATTGGTTTGCATTTTGTTCTCTCTTCCAAGCCCCGGTAACTTCAATGTCCTGCAGTGTTTCAACATGCAACAGACAGGCTCAGCAAGACAACTTTTGGATTCGGCTCAAGACACCTCACCGTCAGCATTCAATTTTCAAGTTCTAGCCGATTGCTATTTCAAGGAGTGCATGTATAACTGTCAAACCGTTTCGGAGGTCTAGCTGGATGAAGCACTTCCAATGTGGATCTTGATTCCCGTGGTTTGTAGCCACTTTGCCGTGGACGGTCGGTTCGACATGCCTTGGCTTCAAGACACCATCGACAAAGTTCGAGAGTGCGGGCCTTAGGGATTGCAGGCCATGGCAGGCACGTGCGCATCAAGCCCTGCAGGCAAGGCACATCCTTGGTGTCGACTGCGGCCGACCATGCCGCGGAGCTGCAAGCAGCTGCTGAAAATGCCACACAGACTTGGAGCGAGGCCATAGTGAGGGTTGAGGTGAGATTGAGGCGACAACAATTGTGCGGATGACTCGGTCATGCAGTCGCTCTCAGGTCAAGCGGAAGTTGGGTACTGAGAGCGCAGATGCGCAGCTGGAGTCACAAGCGCCAGGAGCCTACTGTGGCCGGGGTCGTGGGATGTTCAGTCGCCAGATCTGACCTTTTGCCGGTTAACAGCTTGAGATGCAGCTGGGAAGAGATCTTTGGACCTTCAAATTCAGTATTTTAGCATGCCTGTGGCTAGTTTGTTAAGCAATGCTCAGAGCTGTTGATGGTACACTGTACACAGCCGCACGGCTAGTTTACAGCATGCATCCTTCAGGTTGAACGTGATGCTGTGGCTGGACGAAATCCAGCACCACGCAAGAATCCCTGGAACGATTATTCCCCTGTAAATACCAAACCATAGTTTCGACCAGGGATGTCGTCCACAGTCGTCTTTGGTAAAGAACCCAAGGAGGCAAAGCTGGTTAAGTGGCTGTGGTTGTCAAAAATAGGGTAACCCCAAAATGGGACCAAAATGGAACCTGAAGTGGACCAAACAGAATGAGTGAAACATCACGTGAACGTCACCTGAAGTCACGCTTGGTTCACTCACGTGGCTATAGGGTAACCCCAAAATGGGTTGCCTTAGTAAGTGGAGACATGGACCAAGACCTGCGGTCCAGTGGTTTCATGTTGATCCCGCCCAAGGCTTGCAGCTGTGGAAGCAGGGCACGCTGCTGTGGAGCAACTTTGTCAGGCACGAGGGACGCGACTTGTTTCTTGCTGTGAAGGTACCAACTGGGTGTGGCTCAAAATGGGCAAACCGCGGGTTTTGGTTTTAGGTTTCCATTTACTAAGGTAACCCATGTTGGGGTTACCCTATTTTTGACCCACAGCCAAATCAGTGCACGTGCCACACCTTAGTAACTATACTGGCTTGCTGAGTCGCAAATCCCTTGGTCAAAAACACAGCGAGATATTTGCCGAGCCTGTCGGATTGGCATTCGAATGGCAAGCGACAGCTGACGCATCGGATTCGATTTCTAGGTGCGTCCTTTTCTCCAGCGAAGACGCCAGCTTAATGTATGTAGCGCTTACCTCTCGCAGGCATGGTCTCGGCAGCTCAACACGGCTGCAACCGTTGCCGGAAGCCACGGCGTTGCAAGAGACGGGTCTCTCTGGCAAGATTTCTGCAAGCGAGTGAGATCTGCAGCTTGGCAATGAGCGACTTGTGTCGGTGCAGTGGCTGTCAAGTTTGGACTTGTGAGTTGCTGTGCTCGTTGAATCATTTTGGCTTTCCGACGGCTCCATGTCCACGTTTGCCAGGACCTGGCAAGCGCTGCTGCGGAGCCGCGCGGCGCGGTCGTTTTTTTTTCTCGAGCGCGTCGGGTCGCTGACGGCGTGCCTCGAGGTCGAGACGTTGCTTGAGGGCAGCTGCCGACATGCGCAGGGCCAACCTCTGGGCTGGAGACTCACGGCCATATGCGAGTTGCACACAAGCAGTTCGCAGGGATGTGGCAGGGATGTGTTTTTTTCTATTCTACCAGTTACCCTGCTTCATTGGGACTTTTTATTTTCCTCATCCCTCGCATCCGATCCGGTTGAAGCTTCGCTTTTCCCAGCATCGTCCAGCAGTTGTGCAAGGCCAATTCGATGGTAGCGCCTTGCGGCTACTGATGGCTCGGGTCGGTGCCTGAGAGGCCCCCCTCCAAGCGATGCAAAGTTCTTGCCAGGTTTTGCCTGATGACCACGCTGCATTGGGCCAGGAGTTGGTCACAGTGCTTTCAGGTTCACTTGCTTGCAGTTGAATGTTTCACTCTGTTGCATAGTGGATTCTTTCCTTTTTTCTTCCCCATGGAAATCCACTGGGCATTTGGTCCTTCATGGGGCGCATGTGCATGCAGATTTAATGCATGGAGGTGAGCGCGGCGATTTGGCCAGCGAAGACCACACGCAGTTTGCGGCAGCAATGCTTGCCGGTGGAAAGGCCGGCAGTACCATATCCAGCACCACAAACCATGTAGAGAAAGCCACATGTGGAAAAAAGAACAAGAACCGCTCGCCACATCTTGAGGTGGACTGGCAATCCGAGGCCCCGACTGAGAGACTCACGTTCTTGAGGCACGCGCGCGCGGCAGTGGGGGCCAGTGGCGTCAGGCCAACTTTGCGGAGCAGTGCGAGCTGAAGAAGAAGTGCGAGACGCTGCGGCAGGCGAGCGGCGAGCGGAAACCGAGCCAGGTGAGTCACCATGAAAACCGAGTGGGGTCGTTGGATGGGGGCAGAAAGCTGCCTTTTGAAGTCTGTACGTGGTCTGGGTCGAGGATTTGAGTACCAGGTTTTGAGTGTGACCCAGGTTTCCTTGCATGAGAGGAATGGGTGTGGCTGAAAATTAAAGAGCTAGGGGTAGGCGGGATTTAGTCTTTGGTTGCATTTACCAAGGTGCCATTTTGGTACATTTGTTTGAGCCACAGCCAGAGAAATAACCTCTTCTGCGTTTTGCAGGAGATGCAGAAGCTTGGAGAGCGGCATGGTGAAGCTTTGGACAGGAGCAATCAAAACCGATTCGGGTGCGGAAAGCCGCCTGGCTAGTTCTCTACATGGTGGGTGCCACATGTGGCAGTGGTTGTCAAAGCCGTGTTGGTATCCCATTTTGGGGTTGTGCACCACCCATTTTAGGCTTCCTATTTTGGTGGTTGGATTGAATCGGATGTTCACTGGGCAACCGATTTGGTTTTTGACTGGCCATGTTACCCGGTTTTCGCTTCCCAGTTGCATTCAATTTGAGCCCTCAGAAAAAAAAGGAGAAATACCCGGCTTGCGAAGGCCAGCTCGCGTGCAGATCTCTGCTGAGCTGCTGGGTGCGCCTACGTTCTGTGGGCGAATGGTAGCATATTCCAAACTCCCTCCTTTGCCCAGGCCTCTATGAAGCCTGGTGCTGAAAAAGACCGTTCGGATGAAACAAGATCGAGCTGCGTGGCGAAAGGGGCGGGTTATCCTTTCGATTCTATGCACTGAGGCATTGCACCAAAGTTTGGAGGAGGCCAAGAGTCCCCACCCCAACCACCCACCGCCACACACCCCCACCCCCCACCCCAACCCCCTGCATTGAGCCTTGGAGCGTCAGGCAGAGTGCCAGAGCACATCTACAGCCGAGGCGTCGGTACTTTGGCGGTTAGCCGTCCCAATAGGTTCTAGGCTGTTGTGAGCCTTCAAACTTGGTGGAATTGGGCCATCCCGCCAGGCTTTTAGGTGAATCGTTTAGTGGTCGGGTTTCCCTTTGAACTGCTGGAAGTGAGTGACTCCTAGCCGGGAGCTGAAAATGGACGGGGCCCAGCCATGGCAGGCCCGCCATCAGGGTTTCACGCGGCTTTTGGCGGACATTGAGGCCAGCGAACCCCGTTGAATATTCTTTCGCGTGGGATCTTGCTGGCCAGGCACATGCGGCATCTTTGGAAGGCATGGCTTGTGGCTGAGCTGTGCGCCGTTTATTTTTTATTTTTCTCGCAAGGCTCCGAAGGCGTTGGCCAGCGGCAGCGCTGCTTGCAAGAAGAGCTTCGGCAGGCCCACGACTTGCTCGCAGAGGAGTTGTCCCAGATCGACGAGAAGAGAGCCGCGGCGGACCGTCAGATCGAGCGCCTGGAGACGCAGAAGTTGCAGATCCGTCAGCGGCTGCAGGGCCTCGACGACAAGCTGCACGCGGCGCGGGAAGCGCAGCGGACCTGCCTCGCGGAGCGGGACGGGCGCAGGGCAAAGGTTACGGAGGTGGAGGCTCAGTTTCACCAGCGTCTACAGGGGGTGGAGCAACAAGGACTGCAGGCACGAAAAGAGGTCGCTGCGGCAGAGAAGGCCGGGGGTGAGCCTTTTTCAAATCGAGCGTTTGTCTATTGATTCTGCTCAGCGTTTCTCATTTTTTTGGTACATGATGCTACGAAGGTGCGGGAAGCTGCGGTTCAGGCCGAATCCTTGACTTCCCAGTCGCTGAAAGCTGGTGCTGAGGAGCTTGCCGCCAAAGCCAGCCAGTTCGACGGCCACCTCCTGAACGTCTTGCTGGACCACGTCAGCCAAGAAGAGCGCCGGATTCAGCAGATCGCCGCTGAAGCTGAGGAGTGTGCCCAGATTGTTCAGAGGCACAAGGCGGAGATCGAGCTGCTGCAAGTCATGGATCGGCCGGCGCAGAGTGTGCTGAGCTCTTTGGAACACAAGCGACTTTGTCAGACTGCGTCGGGAGCAGATGCTGCTTTGAAGGCTTGCGCTGGCTTTGTCCGAGACTTTGGGCCGTTCCTCCAGCAAGATGCAAATGCACAAGCGCGTTTGCGGAAGCTTGAAGCCGATCACGCCCAGGTGCTTCGCAAGTTGGCACCTTGCAGAGCATTCATCGGAGGAGCTGCAGAAGCGTCACCTCAGTCATCGAATTCACCCCGCTTCGCTGCTCAGCCACCACATTCTCCAGGCTACCCGGAAGGCCAAACAAACTTGCAAATGCCATCGCAGGCATCGACGATGCCTGGGCAGGGACCTGACCAGCTGCATACGCAATACCAGCTGCACAGCCCACGGCTGCAGCAACTGCAACAAGCACAGCAGCCAGCGCAACCGCCAGCAGCGCAGCTGATGCAACAGTCAGTGCTTGCACAATCGCAAACAGCAGCGCAGCAATCTCTCCCTCAAGCAGCGCAACCACCTGCACAATACTCAGTGCAACAGGCAGCACAGCTGCCAACGCAACAGGCAGCACAACAGGCAGCGCAGAAGCTAGCGCCTGCACAGCAGGCAGCCCAACCGCCAACGCAACAGCCAGCACAAGAGCCAATGCAACGGCCAGCGCAACAATCAGCACCACAACCAACGCAGCCGCCAGTGCAGACGCCAGCGCAACAGCCAGCGCCACAACCAACGCAGCAGCCAGTGCAGACGCCAGCGCAACAGGCAGCGTCGCTGCCAGTGCAGACGCCAGCGCAACAGGCAGCGTCGCTGCCAGTGCAGACGCCAGCGCAACAGGCAGCACCACAGCCAACGCAGCCGGCAGTGCAGACGTCAGCGCAACAGGCAGCGTCGCCGCCAGCACAGCAGCCAGCGCAACAGGCAGCACCACAGCCAACGCAGCCGCCAGTGCAGACGCCAGCGCAACAGGCAGCGTCGCCGCCAGCACAGCAGCCAGCGCAACAGGCAGCACCACAGCCAACGCAGCCGCCAGTGCAGACGCCAGCGCAACAGGCAGCGTCGCCGCCAGCACAGCAGCCAGCGCAACAGGCAGCACCACAGCCAACGCAGCCGCCAGTGCAGACGCCAGCGCAACAGGCAGCGTCGCCGCCAGCGCAGCAGCCAGCGCAACAGGCAGCGCCACAGCCAACGCAGCCGCCAGTGCAGACGCCAGCGCAACAGGCAGCGTCGCCGCCAGCGCAGCAGCCAGTGCAGACGCCAGCGCAGACGCCAGCGCAACAGGCAGCACCACAGCCAACGCAGCCGCCAGTGCAGACGTCAGCGCAACAGGCAGCGTCGCCGCCAGCACAGCATCCAGCGCAACAGGCAGCACCACAGCCAACGCAGCCGCCAGTGCAGACGCCAGCGCAACAGGCAGCGTCGCCGCCAGCACAGCAGCCAGCGCAACAGGCAGCACCACAGCCAACGCAGCCGCCAGTGCAGACGCCAGCGCAACAGGCAGCGTCGCCGCCAGCGCAGCAGCCAGCGCAACAGGCAGCGCCACAGCCAACGCAGCCGCCAGTGCAGACGCCAGCGCTACAGGCAGCGTGGCCGCCAGCACAGCAGCCAGCGCAACAGGCAGCACCACAGCCAACGCAGTCGCCAGCGCAGCCGCCAGTGCAGACGCCAGCGCAACAGGCAGCGTCGCCGCCAGCACAGCAGCCAGTGCAGGCACCAGGACCAGCGCATTAGGCAGTGCAGCAAGCAATGCATTTAAATCCTATGATCCAACACTGCAGTTCACGTCGCAGTTAGAAGCCGCTCACGATACGGATAATATTGCAGGCAGCAAGAGCTACCCGTACAACAACATTGCCGAGTCTTTCGCAGCTTGCTTGGCCGATGCAGCAAGCGAGACAGACAGATAGGGTAAAGCGAAAGACAACGGAGGTTGGCGCCCAGCAAAAGTTGCAGGTTCGAACCTTGAGCAAGGGATTCCCCAAAAAATGCAGCTGGGGACACGCTTGATCCGCTCGAGCTCCCCGATGTGCGGAGCCGCTTGACATATTGACGCGGGAGCCAACGTCGATGAGCAGCAGGCTTCGGAGACGGAGGGCTGAGGAATTCGATGCAGAGCAGCTGCTGCACTGGTGGACAAGCATCATTGCCAGTGCCATTGTTTGCGCTTGGCAGAAGTTGCTTTCGCCTAGAGTTGATGAAATTGGCGGCATGACAGCCGCCCAGAGAATTGCAGCGCTGGCAAAAAGCGATCCACTCCGTTTCGCGCGTTAGTTTGACAGCTTCAGAGTGGCATGTGGAGAGCCGCGAGGGAAATGTCAAACCGGACTGGATTTGGCTCATGGGCAAGATTCACGCTTCGCATGTGCCCAGGGTAGGTCTCATGCCACTGCGGGCTCGTCTTGGGCTCAGCGGACTCACTTTTTTTCATGCCTATGACTATTTTGCGCTCGGTGCGAGGAAGGGAATGGAATGAACTCCCAGGAATTGGTCCCCTTAAAGGAAAGCGCCAGTTGGATGGTTTGAATTGGGGTCATTCCATTTCTCATTTCCTGCATCTCTCGTACTGGCACGCTATGTCACGTGCAGGTCATGTCGTAGATCAGCCCGCGGAAGCGGAACCTGAAGGGCGACCTGCCGAGACGGAATCTGGTGATGAGGACCTTCGTTTGAAAAATAGGACTCGCCCCAAAAAGGGTTGCCCTGGCCAAGGGAACCAAGGACAACCCGGGGTCCGTTTGTTTTGACTCACGTGCACACATGGCGCACCATTGAAGCAACCTGCTGCATTTTGTCCCAAGTTTGAGGATGCCTCCGACTCGCAAGTGGGCAAAGCAGAGGCCAGACTCTTGATTTGAGCTTAAGATCGATGCGCCCAAAACCGAGTTGCGCCCAAAACCGAGTCCAATTTTAGTGGTGCTTCTACCTGGATTAGTTGGAATTATGATAAATCCTATACAAAGCTTAATCATCTTGCTAGAACCACACGTCAATCAGGTTTTCAGACTTGTAGCGCACATTCTGTGCGTTCTGCTCTGAGGCCAGCCCTCATGATAACACCGAGGAGGCTGAGAAGTTCGAGATGAGATTGGTGGCCAAGGCTGGGAATGAGATGAATCCCAACTTGAGCCACTTGCTCAAAGTCCGGGTAGATGAAGGTTAGTGAGGGGCAGTCCCAGCCAGAAATAGTTGCCGCCGCCTTCTGAATTCTTGACATGGTTCTGGGTAGACCGTTTTACGACCGGGTTTTGAGCAAGTGACTCACTTGTCGAAAAGCTTGTAGGCAGATGATTCGAGGCCGAGAGCCCCAGAATGTGACTCTTGTTTTTCCTCAGCTGAAAAGACCCGGGCGCAGCAACGGGACTGTCTGAGGTCACAAGCCCTGCTAGGCGCGGTTGCAACATTCCCCCGTGCGCTCCGAAGGGGAGCGGTGGGAATTTTCTGAGGTGCACTTCGTTCATGGCGCGAACGCTGGGCATCGATCTCAGTGTGAAGGTTGCTTGCTTCCCGCGGTGTGTACCAGAGCTAACGCACATGGTTGCAGCATGCTGTGCAGGCCAAACCAAAGAAAGACCATGCAAAAAGGCAAGCGCGGAACGCATAGATGGCAGGCTTTGGAAAGAAGACGGCAGCATGAGCCGCAAACATATCACAGTTTGCAACACCCAAAACACACAAAACACAAAACACACAAAGCACAAAACACAAGCAAACACACACAAACACAAAGACACAGAACAGCACAGACAAATACAACAAACAAACAAAAAACACAAAACAACACACACCAAGACACTAGGCTCCTAGATAGATCCAGTGACGCCCCATGTCGAATGCCCTTTGGGCGTTGTGGCCTGCATCCCTAGTAGCATGCCTGGCTTGCTGCCAGCAGCTGGGTTCCTTCCATGCGCCGCTTGGCTGTAGAGCCCGAAGCCATCAGCCTTGTCAAAATTGGGATTTGGACTCCCAACATCTGATGCCGGATGACAACATCGGGGACAACTGTTGCACCATCCGGCGATTCCCTGACAATTCCCTGAGAATGCTTTCGATTATCTTGCTGTTGCTCAGGGAATGAACCTGGTGTTTATCTCAAAGGAAGCCATAGGCACCAGTTTTCCTTTGGTTTCCCTCCGAGACGTTTATTCAATTTCGGGGGTACCGAACCAAGACGCGGCTACAGTGGCTTGGGTACCTCAAAACAGCCAAAATAACAATCACGTTTTTTTTTGCTTCTTCTTTTTCCTTTGGTTTGCCTCCAAACCCACCTGACTCACAAGGGCGCCCCCCAAAAAAACCGACAAAAAGCGGGAGGCACGGCCGAGGTATGGGAAGCACAGCCAGCTGCAAGTTGCGGCGGCCATCGCCTGCAGCTTGATCCTAGCGACTTGGGCTCTGGCCGAGGCGGGAGAGAAACGTGAGCGAAAATGACTTTGGTTGGAGCAGGGCTCCTTAAAAGAAATATCCATTTTGCAACCATTTGAAACATGGTGCTTTTTCAACACCAAAATAAAGTTGGAACCCACCATTTACAAGTTGCAAGGTGTATAATGTAAGGATCCCTGTTAAGACTCCCGTGACGCGAGTGCAGTTACTTGGGTGTTCAAGCTTACTAAGTAGGGAAACTAACCATGGTTATAGGGAAACTGATCCCAATTCCCCCACTCACAACCATGGTTATAGCCTTTGTCTTTGGTTTGGGGATCCCGGGGGCAAAATGGCGGTGTTCCTTTTGGTGTTCCCTAAGCCACCAAAAATGGGTAACCAAAACACTACATCACCCGCAAAATGGCGGTGTTCGCTTGAAAGCCACCAAAAACTGGGTACCGAAAAAAACAACGAGCAAAATGGCGGTGTTCCCTTTAAAGCCACCAAAGTTTTGGGTAATTACCAAAAAAAAGCAACATCACCTACATTTGTATCTTTTTGTTTTCCGTAAGAACCACCAAACATGGGGTACCAACAAAAACAACATCACCTACATATTCATGATACGAGCGGATGGGGTTTCACTGCAGTCGTTGGAGAGCCATGGCCTAAGCCCCATTCGATGATTCCGTGGGTGGTCTTGTTCCATGCAGTGTGCGAGCAGCTGGACAGGCAGGCGGCTATTTTCGCCGACATCGCGGTCACAGCTATGAACCTTGGCTGAGTCATTGTCTTGTTTTTGTTTTATTTATCAATTTATTAATTAAAATATTTATTTTCTTATTTACACTGCGGAGGAGCTTGCAACAACTGAAGACCCGGACCCGGTGATATTCGGCGCGAAGATCGCGAACTCCGAGCTGGAGAGTCAGGCTTTCAACACATGGCTTGTGGCGGGGGGGGGGGGCAGCTTAAACGAGGGCAGAAGAGAAAGCAAGAAGACAAGAGCTTCGATTTGTTTGCAGGGTCCGCGAGCTGAAAAAGGTTTGTGCCGCAGGCTGGCCACTCCACCAATGTCTGCGAAGCCACCAAGGCGGAGGCAGGCTGTTGGAACATATGGGTATGGGTCAAACTTCGACCGCTGAGGGACCCGCAGGTTTTACAGGGCAGCATTTTGGGGTTACCCTACTTTTGACCCACAGCCATATGCCGATCACGGCAGAATCTCAAGGCAGAATTCCCAAGTGCCAGGAGCTGTCACCCTCCTTGAGCGAAAGGGCACAAGCCAGAGGCTCAGTGCGTCGTGTTCCCGCGAGTCTTCGGCCGCGGACAACTCGCAAGCCGTATTGCACCAGCAAATCGTCCTGGATGCTTCCCTGTCTGCAAGGCAAGAGAACACAATCCGAAAAGCGCAAACCACCGCGAAGTGCAGGTGATTTGTGAATCATAGACCTTCACATTGTGCGTGCCAAAGCTTTTCCCAGATTCTAGCAGAAGCTGAGAAGCTGCAAGCCCCATGAGTTCGCAGCGAAGCGAGCTGCGAAATCAAGCTGAGTTGCAGAGTGGCAGCAAGCTGGTGATGCTGCTAATGTTGACGCCGGATTCATACCTCCGAAAGTGATCAATCCCCACTAAAACCAGAGACACCCCCATACGAATAGACAGGGGTTTGTTAATCTGGGGTCAACATTGAAGGACAGCAAAGCAAGGGCAATGCGCTGCGAAACAAGATCGCTTTGGGCCGCACGAAGTTGCCGGTTCAAACGAGCCAGCACAAGCTCGCAAAGAAAGGCCATTGTGTCTCTCGCGTTTTTTCAGACAACACAGGCTTTCCAAGCCCAGCCGAGCTATTGGAAAGCTGTCGCCCTCGATTGCCTTGTGCTGCCCTTGACCTGAGCTTGCGAAGGCTTAGGTGACATGTGCGGGTTGATCACTATTCAGTTTAGGGCCCCCAAATGGCTATGGCTAACTTTTCGCACGTAGTGGGAAATATCATCTTTTTGGTGGTTTCTCCTAATGGTCATCCCATGTAAAGGACCTTTGATCAACCCCCATGTAGTTTTCTGTCTGGCATCATGGCCGCCGTGCGAGTTCTCGGGGCCCCAACTGAGAAGTTTTATGATGGGCAACGCCGCCGCTTTCTTCTTGCACCAGCAAACTGATAGCCCAGAATTCTGCAATCTGCTTCTGTGACATTCTCAGTCTGCCCATTGCGCTGAGGCCTGGCTGTGTCAGAACATTGCTGCTTGGAGGGCAGGGGCCGAGCTGTGCGCAGCTTGGTAAAGAGCTGATTGGATGTGGGTATGGGTCAAAATTAAACCTCCATGCGACCGCAGGTTTTAGTCCATGTTTCCTTTTACCTGGATTCCATTTTGGGTACATATTTTTGACCCACAGCCATGTGGTTGCGGAAGAATCCGGGCTCTTGCCCATTGTATTCTTTTTCAGGTAAGCATTGGACCACCCCGTGTATTGACAGATACGGGATTCATACAAAGTCGGTGTGTGGCAAATTCCAGTGAATGCGGCTTGAGTGCGACGTGCGCCAGGTATTGCTGGGCCTTTTGTACGTTTGCGACCGGACCAGCCTTTTGCCGGATGGTCCAAAGATGCGCGACCCGCGGCAATTTTGGACGCTCTGGGCTTTGATCGTCGTTGCTGCGTGCTTCACAGCCAGAAAAGGAGATGATAAAGCTCCGCTTTCTCGGGATCAGACGGACGAGTGGAAAGGATGGATGCAGATCATGTTCTTGATGTGTTCTGTCTGAACTTAAACAGGCAGGTGGGTAGGCGATGGGCTTGTGGAGGGTTGCGTTGCTTGTTATGCTTCTTGCCTAGGTACCACTATTTCGAGGAAAAAGAGGTGTACAACGCCATTCGAGTGTACATTGCAGCATATGTGTGGATGACAGGATATGGCAATTTCCACCTGTACCGGAAAGGTAAAAGCTTTACATTGCGACGCACTGCCCAAATGATGTTTCGTTTGAACTTTCTTGGCTTCGTGGCGTGCGTCGTTCTTCGCAATGAATACATGCTGTATTATATTTGTGCGATGCATACCTTATTTACAGTTTTTGTACTTGCGGCAATGTTCATCGGGCACACCTTGAACTCTTCCTACTCTGTGCTATGGGTCAAGATTGGAGCGACGCTGGCTGTGACAGCGCTGCTCTATGATGGCCCAGAATTTATTTTCAGATGGGTCTTTGGTACGCTGCCAGGGGTGCGGCCTCTATTTGCATTTCATGACCCTTTGCATCCTGAATTCACAGATGAAATGCACGAGTTTCATTTCCGGTCTGGCCTAGATCGCTTTATTTGGATCATTGGGATGATTTGCGCTCTGCACTTTCAGTATTTTACTGCATTCTTGGAACGCTTAGCAAGCCTTCCAACTCTGAAGCGCATTTCAATGCAGGCCATGGTTTTTTTGCTGGCCTTAGTATTGGGATGGCTCTGGTGGAAGAACGTTTTCCAACTGGAGAAGCTCACGTACAACAAGGTGCATCCTTACACGTCGGGCGCTTAGTATGATATCCGCGTGGTGCTTTTCATGCATGGTGTTGTGCAGCAGGATTCTGGCCTTTGCGCGTTGAAGGTGCCGGCTTTGGCTGTTGGGTTTGATCTGGTTTCGCCTGGAACTCCAGTATCGAATCGGATCGATTTGTTCGGATCGAGTTTTGGTGTAGCTTTGAGGCTCTGGAACATGGACTCTGTCCAGGGTTCTGGTTTTTGGAGCGGGCTTGGGGACTTGCATAAAACGAGTTGATGGGGGGGGGAACGATGTGCATTTCCTCCACTCTGGAGGGGGTATTGCCAGAGATTTCAATTCTTCGCTCTCCGATTCATGGTGAGTCTCTCACCCGGGTTCTTCAAGTGCCGCCTCAGCAAGTTGTTGTAGCTGCCAGACTTCTCGGCAGAGTGGAGGCTCGAAGCGGTATCTGCAGATTTGCAAAGTCGGGCTGGGCTTCCCACGAAAATCCTGGACGGCCGACATCTTCCACACCGACGGCGGACAACTGTTCTTGACCTGACTGGGCCAGCCTTGCTGCTGACTACAGAATGGTGGAGGGAGGACTACGAGGATCCGCCAATCCCAAGCCACTTGCGCGGAGCCAGGAGGGAGCCTCAGGAAGTTGAGGCTTTTCCTGGTCGAGTTCGATCTGTCTCCAGCAAGTCCTCGTCGACAGTCAAATTGCTCAGCCTAACCATGACGACAAACGCAAGAGTCTCCCGTCTGCATCAGCTTCTCACGCTGAAGCAGCAGGCGGCACATCACATGCCATTAGCGCTGCGCTCAGCCGAGCTCCTCCTGGTTCACACATTGACCAACCAGCAGCTCGCACCGAGCGACAGAGTCTCCCCAGATATGGGATTGTCAGTCTCTTTGACGGATGTGGCAGTGCCATTGACACCATCCAACAGAGCATCGGACGGCGGTCATAGGAGTGGCTTCCCTGATTTGGCTGCACGATGGCATTTGGCTCTGCCCGGCCCCCAGCAAAACTGCAGTTCGGGCAGCCGTCGCCGCCGCCTTTGCCAAGCACGGGGTCACTGGCACGGTCGATGACGCGTTACGCATAGGATCGCTTCGTGCCCGACTGGCGCAGGACGCACTGATGTGGGTATCAATGGAGTTTTCGGGGCCGGTAAAACGAGGGCAATCTCCCTGATCCTCGCTGCGGCAGTTTATATGTGCGACGCGGAAATCCTGGTTGTTGCCAAGGAAAATCTCGCAATGAGAGCGGTGGCTGAATACATGGACCAACTTCTTCCGTCGGATGATGTGGATAAACGGCGGAGAGTGCGCCGCTTCTGTGGAATTCTCGCGGCAGGAAAGGCAGGCATATCCTTTCGATGTCCACCCGGACCACCGAGACGTGGTATGGCCCGAAGCGCAGGTGCGCTTGCTGACAACTGGAGTGCTGGAGTCCATGCGGCGGAACTCTCGGCCCTGGAATAGTGACCCTCTTCATAAAACGGCAGTTGCGTTCTATGAAGAAGGGCAGCAATTCGGACCACTCACCGAGGTGCTTGCTGTACTATCGCTCGCCCCGGATGCTTTTCGGGTGTGGTCTGGCGACATTATGCAAACACCAGGAGGCATTCAGAACTGCGACGCTGCACATGAGACCCGACGGAAAGTCGTCTCGCGGCGACAGGGACTTCGGATGGAACAGACAGGCTCTACGGGCTCTTCAGTTAGTTGGCCATTCCGACCACCCACTTTGCAACTCCCTGCTTTCTGGCAAAGCAGATGCAGCAAATGCAACCAGTGACGCAGGCCGGGTACCGCTGCAGGTACCTGGCCTTGCTCGCACCCCTGCTTTTGACCTTGAGGAAGCTGCTGATTGCCCGACATGGACTCAGGCTGTTGGCTGGCGTGAACAGCTGGCCTTGGCGGTGTCCATCAGTGGAGCCTCATCTTACCAGTGTCGAAACGGAGCCCGCCAGATTTGTTCCTGCCATTGATTTTCACACGCTACCGCGCCATGTTGGGTATAGTCGATAAGCTTTCATTTTCTTACGATGATACCCCGCGCGGTGCATATGATGGGTTTCATTGCATTTGCTGGAGGCCAGCCCGCCAGTTTAAGGACAAACCAGAGGACATGGCAGCAGTACTGCAGCAGCCCATCTTACAGTTCGGTGCTTGCACTGGGGTCAGCTGGAATACAGGCAAGCTTCTAATCCTAACCAACCGTGGCGACATTAGCTCATGTTTGCAGCGCCAGTTCCGCGCGTATGACGGACCGAAGCAGAGCGTGGCAGAAGTCTTGGCAGCCACGGGTAACCCCCCTTGCGCCCCCGAGGTTGCACACATGATCCAGGTGGAGACTGGTGTGAGGGCCTCGGGGGCGACTGCCCATGCCTGTATCTGGCAGCAGTCGGCGGTGGGCTTCATGTTGAATGGCGATGAAGCTGATGCACGTGCCACGGTGGTCCTGACTCGCTCCACCACGGGGGTCTTGATGATCTCCCCTCCAGACATGAAGGGCATTCCGGGTATGGCCCAAGTGCTTGCAGCCAAGGAACGACGCAGGTCCTCGACCCAACCTACTACGAGGCGCCTGAAATCTTTCGATTTCGCCCGTTGGCTCTTACGCCTTGGTTCCAGCGTACCCAGTTTTGGGACGTAACCCCTTGCCTGGTAGTGGTACCATGTCGTTTCGTTCGCGCCCCGCAGGGTCAGGTGGATTTCTCGAGGATGCTTCCTGAGGCAGGCTCCCTAGTGGATGGTCAGGTGCCGACGCTTGCTTACGGCTATGCCCCAAGGATGACGGGGTGCCCGGGTGTTGCTGGTGCCCGATGAGCAAGGCCTTTGGCTCCTCTTGTACGCTAGACTCTGGCTGAAGATCGAGAAGCCCGATGCATTTGGAGCGGTCACCTACCATAGCAGTAAAGCCATGTGGCCCCTGCCCAACCATGCGTTTTATGCAGAATGGTTGAACTTCCCGGCTTTCCGCCCTGCACCTTACGTGCTTGACGTGGATTGCGAGCCGGAGAACGACACTGAGGATGAAGCTTCGGACATAGAGCGACCGGACATGCCTGGCTATGAATGGCTGCGGGAGTTCCAGGTCAAGGCCTGTTAAGCAAAGTGCTCTCGCGGCCGCACAAAAGTGCTCAAATTTAGTGCAAGTGGTCATACGGACGGGGAAGCAGGGTCACTCCCCTGCGGAGCTTCTGCCACTGCAGGAGTTCCACCTCGATAACCCCTGCCTGACCGATTTGGCCTGCCTGCCGATGGACTGGCCTTTCGGTAGACTTGCCTTTGCCATTGACGCGCTACCTTGGAGCCGTGGCCTGAAGGGCGTCCTTGCCGACCAGGAAGCTTTGCTTGCTGCCTTTGAGGAGTTGCCGGAATCCGACTTTGGCCTCGATCCATACCGCACCTGCTTGACATGCTCCGTAGCATCGCGAACTTCCTTGCCTCCGTCTTCCGTGTTAGCCACAACCTGCAATGGCCGGAAGAGCTGCGGCTCCTGGAAAGTCCGGATATTTGGCTGCGACAGATTTATGAAGCGGTTGTCTCTGACTGGGACGAGGCCTGGAAAAGTGAAGACTTCCGTTGTGCCTACTACCAAAACCTCAAGTTTAAATTAGGCATCACCACCACCCGTGGGCTCGTCAGGGCAGTGTTGCACGCCCGCAAGGGGGTGTCGCGTGGCAAGTGCTACCTGCACACGTTGGACGTGTGTTTGCCTGTCCCCTTGCTCCTGTTAGGCCTCGCAGGACCATCTTTTGCAAGGTGAAGAGTCTTTCATGCTGCGATCAGCGGACTCCCCGATAGACCAGGAGGCGGACGAGCCTAACGAGCCCAACGATCCCCCTGTCCCAGCGAGGAGGCGTGGAGGTACCCACGGCCGCTCGGCTGGCTCCCATGTTCCTCTTACTCATGACGCTGCCCGAGGATGAACAACTTTGCGCAGAATGATCACTGGAGGCTTCCTCTGCACCGGCAACGGATGCGGACTGCAAGCTTGCTCCATCGAGCGCAGCATGGACGGCTTCAACGTCATGACAACCTTCAGCCGCTTGCTGCTGCGTTTCCTCAGCAAGATTATGCAAGTAGACAGTTCGGAGATGGGAATCCTTGTCCGCAAAGGCAGAGGCATAGCGGCGCCACTGCTATGCCACAGTGGTGCCGAGAAGGGTAACTCACAATGCCAAAATTTTCCCCTAAAGGCAGACATGCTATGCCACAGTTTTTCCTTGCTCCGGAATAGGCTCTGCAGGCAAGAGGGTTGGTTGCCCATCAAGGAAGCTCTCAGGCAATCGCCTCAACGTGTAGACCCCAGGCTTAAACTGCTGCCTGCAGTCGCTGCGCGCCACCGACGTCACATGGGCAATATGCTGCAGCTTGTGTTCCACATCCCAATCCGGGTCGTCGAATCCGATTTGGACCAGGGACAAGATGTCAAGCTTGGCCGGCCAGTCAGATCTGGCTGCCGCTAGGGCATCCCCCATTTGCTCGACATAATCTGTAGCCGCCCCGGTCATCACTGCAACCTAACAGTGCTTGGAGCTGCCTGCAGCGGGACCCCGCCCTGGCCAGCAAGCCGCGGCATTGACTAAGGCATGACCCGGTGGCCTGGCTGCACGCGGCCCGCTACAATCGACTTGCACCGGCGCTGGTGCGATGCAAGCTTGCCTGTCATTGCTCCCTCCGCCAGGCCCTAGCGGTGCCCTTACATATTCCCTCCTTAATCCCGGCCTGAGATGCCCTCCACTTTTACTTGCCTGACAATCCCTCTAGAGAGGGTTTGTTTGTTGCGCCTCTCTTGGTAATTTGTGCCCTCTCTTGGCCTGAGTCCAATTTGATACTGGATTTTCGTCAGGCACCGGCGGAGTCTGCCAATTTGCTGTGTTTTGCGCCTGGTCGATCTTGTTGTCGCCCTCGCCAGTTGGGTGGCCCCCTTTTCGGCTCACAGCTTGCGCTACTGGATAAGTAGGGTGCCCCGCTGCAGGGACGCTCTGCTACTCCTCTCGTGGCCTCTTTCCCGATCCAGGCTTGTCATGGGCTTACACTCAGGATATTGATGCGATTGCCATGTTCAGTCTCGCTTTCAGTCGTGGCCTGGCGTATGCTGTCGGCTCTTTCATCTGCCTAAGCGATGGGGGCCGCTTCAAGTCCGCGTTGCCTTTCATTTTCATTCGACATCTTGGCATCCCATTGCACTTTTCAATGGTGACTTCCATTGCACCATCTTTGCCTACGTTAAAGGACGGTCTGTCTCGGTCATGTTTTAATATCGGGGCTCGATGGACGTGGCCTTAGATGCCGACATACTATTGATAACACGCTGGTCCTTGCCCCCTGATGTCCTTTGTCATCTGTCGCTTCCGTTTTAATTGCAGATGCGCGTCTCTGATGCGCCAACCCATTTGGGCAGAATATTTCAGGTGATGCCTGTGTTGTGCCTTTGCCTTTATTTGCAACTTCGTGGGGATGACAGGCGTTGCCATTTCCTATAAATGGCAGGCAGCGACTATAGTTGGATTGCTGCCTATGAGTGGTACCATGGCGGCTCTGTGCTGCCTTTCTTTGCTGCGGTACATATCTTGCAGTGACGGCGGTGGGGTGCTGCGGTCGCTTTCCGTTTGCCATACCACACGCGATACATATTGCTTGTGGTACGGCAAGGGGACTCCGATGTTTTGTGCAGCTGCGCTGCCTGCAGTGCTTGCGGCTTTCGAGGACAGTCCTGGTTTCATTTTCTGGCTCCGCAGTCTCTGGCTCAATCCCGCCTTCTTGGCTCAAAGTTTGGCCTTCATCACGCGGGTGGTGGTTGGCCCCGGTCCGAGCGCCATCCGGGTCAGCACACACTGTTCTCTGGTTGGTGTGGTGCTGGCCGCGTAAAGTGGACCCTGCCAGTCGGTACTGTGTGCCCTCGGCGCATTGCACCGACATGAGCGTTTCGGTGCACGTTGGCGCTGATCGTTCGGCATCTCGGATTCGGTGCATGGGAGGCGATAGTCCTGAGATACAGGTTGACCTTCAGCTTCAGTTGATCAACGTTGGTCAGTTACTTGCCTTCTTGCTCCAGCAGACCGTCCACAAAGAGGAGCCGCGTTTACAGCAGGCGCCACAGGCGGAGTGGGCGGTGTCTGCACTACCCAGGAGTCCCCCTTGCTGCACTTTGGCCATACACCTGTTCAGCAATATCAAGCTAGGCATGGATGGACGAGGGATGTGCCACGCAACCTTGATGCGGATGGGGTCCCTAGCTGGCCTATGCTGGACGATACCCATTTGGCATTTCAAGAGACGCCTTTCTCCCCTATCCCGCCGCTGGTCCCCCCCGGGTGTTTTGCAACGCGCCTTCAGCTGACGGGAGCAATGGATGCAACTTTTGAGGCCCGGCGCTACAACTATGCCGCTACTCAATCATACCGGTGGGCGCGTGCTTCTGCTATGAGCCGAGCCTCTGAGACGATTGGTCCTTCGCCTCCTTGTTTTGGGGGAGCTCCGGGCGAGGTCTGTCAGCAGCAGTAGATGCAGAAGGTAAGTTCCCACTATAGGATTGGGAGTGGGCTGACCTTGCATGGTATCGCCGGTTGAGCAATGGTGGTCCGCATTCCATAGCCTCCATACTATGACATTTACAGTGGTTATCTCGATGGCGATGCTTTCCTACCTCTGCGATTCATTGGCCCTGCTGGCGTTTTGCGGGGTATTATCCCAGCCTCTCTGTGTTACAGGCAGATATTGTGCTTGATTTCCTGCTACAGACCGACGGTCGGGTGCCGTCTTTCTTCAACAGTCTGGCCCTTGACAGTGCCAGCGCTCCTGGGTTGGTGGTACGGCGAGGGGACTCCGATGTTTTGTGCAGCTGAACGCCTGCCGTGCTTGCTTTCGTTCGAGGACAGTCCTGGTTTTACTTTCAGTCTTGGCAATGCTGGGATGGTGTGGCGTGAGCCTCCTCTCATTTTTTCCTTGACGTGGAGATGGTTACAGTTTATTGCTGCTTTGTGGTGTCTGCTTTGTTGTGTCGATTATGAGCGGGCCGCGCAGAGGACTGGGACGCTTGTTGGCATGCAGTTTGTTTGTCGCTTCACACATTGACCCGATACCCTAAGCGGTGTCAGAGCAGTGTCCTGGCCTGGATTACTGCACAAACTCTGGCGGATGCTGGCCTTTCGGGTCCCTGGTACAGCAGTTGCCCGACGGGTCGGCTGACGCTTGCGAGACCTGTTATTTCACAGACTTTCCACTGACGTACTGCGGGGTACGTTCCCGGGTTTTTTTGGCAGGGTGGTACATGACGGCAGCCATTGTGCCTCACTGGACTTATGTTGGTTACACACTTCGCATTCTTTGCTGTGGCGCTAATTTTGTTTTCCCCTGCTGAACTTGGATTACCCCCCCCTTTTCCTTTCTGGATCATTTTTGCTGTGGCGAACTACTTTTTCTCGCGCGGTGTAGCACTCCTGGGGAGAACTACGCGGCGGCTACTTGGTGACTTGTGGCCTTCCGGACTTTATTGCCAAACGAACAGTGGCGATTTTCGTTCTGCGTATGCAACAGCCGTGCTGTGATGGTGTGGCAGTTTTCGGTAGACCTGCCGGACGATGCCTTACTTTGCTATGCACAGGGATCCCATTCCCTAACCGGGATGCTGGCCTTACACCCTTACACTGGCCTTACACGATTTGGCTTGCGAGAAAGGCAGCCTGGTGTTCGACATTTGAGATGTCTTCAGGCGTAGGGCCTAGGTTTCTGTGAGCGCGGTACAGTTGCTCCGGCTCTCGATTTTGCAGTCAACCTCTGGTGCCTCTGGCACCCGGTCCCGGTCTCACCCCCCTCTCTTTTGCTTGTACTGGTTTTGCTATGGAAATGACCCTTGGGTCGTCATTTTCTTTGTCGCCTTCTTAGCGTGGGAGCTCACCTCTCCTTGCCCAGATTCCTTTATATCGACCGGCGATCATGCTGTAGGCGATTTCAAGGAAAAAACTGTCTCCAGCAAGTCCTCCTTGGGCATGTTGATGTCTTAGACCTCCAGTGTTGGGAAGAGCGCTAACCTTCTCGACGTAACCTTGCGATCGGGAATCTCGCTGGCCGCGCGCTGGCCGAAGCTCTTCGGCCTTGCCTCCGTGCGCCTTGCAGTCTGGAGAAATGCCTCCGACTCACCTGCCGCAGATGGCCCAGGGCGAGATTTCCAACGTCAGGCGTCAACGACCAGGGCGCGACAGAAGACGGTTCTCGCTGCCTTGCGCTGGTCGCGCCGACAGCAGGTCAACAAGGTTGCCGAGCAGGTTGCGCCCCCAAGACTCCGCGCCTGGGCTGGTCGGTGTCGATGGAGATTTCAGAACGGTGCGACGACCAGGAAGCTTGTGAGCATGTAGCGTGCCACGGCGGCGGGCGAGAGCGCTGACTCCTCGAAGATCACGTCGATCATCAAGGACCTGAGCGCGACGCAGGAGAACGGAGACGTCAAAGTGCGTGGACGGCACAGACTGCGCCGCAGGACCCATGCTAGCAAGAACCCGCGCGCAGAGGCTGCGCGTCCTGTCGATCCAAGATGCCCGGGTCGCAAGTAGAGCGCAGCGAGCATGCTTCCTTCCCACCGAGCCAATGATCGCCGACGCTCTGAGTACGACGGCGCGATGTCGCCGTGCTTCGCAATTGGACCATTGCTCTCCCATTGGCTGTCGTACTGGCGGCGCTGGTCAGTGCCAGTTTCTTCATTTGCGGCGTCCTTTTGTTTATGACTGGGCTGCACCACTTTTGATGGTTTAATCAAGGAGGCAGAATGACGACAAAGCCCTGGGTCTCCCAGCAGCAGCTGAACAGCTTCCTCCTGAAGTGCCAGGACGAGGTCGTGGCGCGCCATCGAGAGGAGCCCTTGTGCACGCACAAGCCGGCGTGAGCCGACTCGCGGAATCGGCGCACACGGACGCGGAGAAGTGGCGGACGCGGACTGGGGCCTGTGTCGCGGAGTTTTCGGTGACTGCCCCGACAGACGTGGACATATCGCCACAAGTCGGACCTTCCGAGCGTGTGAGGATTGCGTAGGTCGAGACTCAAGCCACAAAAGGTGACCCGGGTAAAGTTTCAGGTGGCCTTGCAACAGGCCTTAGGCTGCCTGAGAGCCTTTGCTTTCTGCTTGCCAAGGCATGTTCTTGCTTGTTGCTAAGGGTCGTCATGCTTGGAATCGGCTGGACACATCGTCGCAGTTTCCAGAAATTGTTGTTTTCCTCCAAGTCCTTTTTTTGCGCCAGAGGTCTTTCATACCCTTGTTCATCTACCTGCTGTTCAGAAACTTCACCGAGGGCCTGAGGCAGCGCCACCTGCATTTGTTTGCTTGCATGGGAAGATACACTCTGGAGACTTACATTCTCCAGTTCCACATTTGGATGAAGACGACGGGCCTCAATGGTTCGCCCAAGCGTTTGCTGGTTGTCATTCCAGGTTACTATTGGCTCAACTTTGCGGTGCTTACAGTCGCGTATGTCTTTGTGTCTGTCCGATTTTCAAACTTGACTGGAGTTCTGCGGGATGCTCTGATCCCGGACAATTTGCTTTCGATGTGCAAAATCTGGACCATCTTGATTGCCCTCGGGGGTACGTGCTGGTTATCCTCGCTCTTATGGATGGGTAGTTTAGCTGACGTTGGATGGCCCTGAATTCACCAGGACAGGCTGCATAAAATCAAGGCGGCCATTTCTATTGGGCTGGAGCAATACCCAGCCAGATCTGCAGGGAAAAATGGCAGACGTGACTATCTGCGTGCGCTTGCGGAAGCAGACAGCATTTTTCACGCACGCGCATACCGCTGAGGATCGTCGGTGCCTTTCCTCAGTTCAGAGCTCGGCCGCAAATCCACAGTCCGGTGCAGGCCTCAGACTGACTCCGGACATGTTCTAGGTCCACACCTGAGGTTGGTAAGGTTTGATGCTAAGGCGACTTGCTGGTCAGCGACCTCAGGCGTGTTTTTTTTTAATTCTTTTTCTCCGCTTTGGCCGAAGCTCGGCTAGTCTTTGTCCTTTGCAGTCCCCTGGCCGACGAACCAGCTGAAGATGTGCCGACCTCATCGGCCGAGTGTCCCTTTGGGCCGTGTACACCTTGGGCAATCTACACCTTGTCACTTGTTCATCCAAGGAGAGGGTCAACTCCTGGCAGGCGAAGAACGCTTCACTGTCCGTTCGAGCAGTGGTCGGATCTGAGGTGGTCGTTGACTCGGAGGGTCGTGTTGTTGCAGAAGACGTGGCGCACTCGGACATTGAGGGCTTCATTTTAGGGTGGGATCTTTCTTTGGCAGGTCGATGTTCAGACAGGAAGAGGATCGATCGAGGCGTGCATGCTGCAGGCTTTTTTCGCTACGTGTGTCAGCCATTTGCCAGGCAAAAATGGAACGCATGCTGACGTGGATGCTGGCTCCTGCAGTTCATGGAATCCCAGTTCCGCTGCCACGATTTTTCTTTCTTCTTTTTTCTCTTTCCGCTGCTCAGGATGCAGCAAACTGTTTCCGTGGAGTGCAACATCCTGTATTGCTTGAATCTGCTCACACCCTTGGCCCAGAAACTGGGGGTGCTGCCGGCCGAAGAACGAGCAGTGGAACTCCTGAGTCAGTCTGCAGCTCAAGATGCCCAAGCCGCTTTAGCAGCTATGCCTTGCTTTGCCAGCTTTGCGCCCAGCAAGGCATGACAGGGATGTCGAAGCTGCAGTACGGGAGGCTCTCTTCTTTTTGATTGCTCCATGCAGCAGTGACGTGTGCCGTGCGCAGGTTGTCGCAGGCTCCGAGAGGCACGTGCGGTCTGATTGTAAATGACACTTCTACATACGAATGGTGGCCGATTGCAAGGTCTGTCTCGAATGTGGTTCTGAACTTCTGCTTGGAGCGCATTCCGGTCCTTGGTTGCCCAACAGCCAAGAGCCAAGCTGTTTGCAGACAGGGGACCGCCGCTGCACGTGCAGCATACGATGGTTGTTGTTGGAAAACATTTAGCATTGTTGCTTATCATAGTTTAGTGGAATATCCCCACTTAACTGCTAAAGTTTGCCGCTTCCAACGTCAACCAAGATACTGTACTTGTAGATTCGCCAAGTGCCAAGCTCATGCATCAGGTCTTGTTGCGGACGACCTGGGGCTTGCGGCTCAGCATGAGCGTCCATGAATCGAATTTCTTGGATTTCGGATCCAGGAAATCTTCGCAGTATTTTGATCATTGCGGCCATGTATGGTCCGGCGCCCAGACATGTGGCTGGGCTGTTGGTCAAAACCGTTGTGGTTGATCCCATTTTGGTTGCTAGGTGAAAATTCACCACGCGTAGGCTTTCTATTTTAGTGGGGGTAGGGGATTTTCATCCGCCATGTCTCAGCCTGACTGGCTCCTTGAGCTGAAAGGTCATGACCTGGAATCCGCACGGGTGCAGCATGAGGCTGGAGTTTTTGGTGTTACCGTGTTTGAAGCAGAGCATGTCATGGTTGTTGGGAAACATTTGAGTCATTTTTGATCTTATTGTGGTTTTTCGTGGTTGAAATCCAACCACTTAACGGCTAAAATTTAAATTTTTGCTCCCCTTTCAACGTCAACCAAGATGTGTGTCAGGCACTTCTATGCTTAGTCCCGCCGGGTGATGACAAGGACGGTACAAACAAGTGCTGGCACACTTTTTTGCGTTTGGATGATTCATTGCAAGGACTCCTGCACAGCAGCTTTGAAACAGCAGAACGTGATGGCCCTAGGTTGGTGAGCACAGACCCATAGGTCATGGTTCCGTGATACTTTTGCTCCAAAAACAGACGACTTGCCTGGTGGCTTTCCCCGTTGGTTTGTTTTGGCCCTCACCTTGATTTGCGAATGCGTCCCCTGGAAAATAGCACTTTTTGTGCAGTGGTGAAATCGACTGCCTCTCTAAACCCCGGAAAACATTTGGAACATCTGGAAGTAGCTAAGGCATCTCCTGACTTGAACCCAGCGGTCCTGGTCTCCACCACGGCGCAGCAGGCGGCGAGGGCGCGCCTTTCGTCTGACGGAGCTGTCGCCATGGCAGGTGGCCCGTTTCATGATCCGCGGGGCCTTGAGACGGGCAGCGCCCCAAGCATTCCCTGGGGCCGTTGGGGTTAAGTGGGTGAATTCACCACCCACTTTAGGCTTCCTAGTGTAGTGGTTGGATTGAATCGGATGTTCACTGGGGGCTACGAAATTTGGAGTTTGACCAATGGCCTTTGCTCCGCTCTTCGCTGACACCAGCAAGCAACTGGCAAGCCAAACCGAGGCTACGGGATTGCAAGCAGCTGTGGACTGCTTTGAGCTCGCCTCCCTTTTGTCGGTTTCCTAGATGCCGCTGCCGCTGCGCCGCTGCGTTTTAAAGGCAAAAAACGAGCAGACCTTGAGGTACAGCAGCTGTGGCACGGACACTGATGATGTGCTGTCCTCGGGTTTTGCCGTGCAGACTCTCGTGATTTTTTTTGTACTTCGCTCCTTTCTTTTGGGCAACAACTTGCCGGTGCTCAGTAGGGAATGAGCCTTCCACGTTTTTGGAATGAACACGTCGGGTTTCCCTCAAAGGAACCCAACTCGGGGCTGGTTTTTTAGAAATGGGGTCCTTCCATTTCTCGCAAACCCTGCATCTCCCCAACTTGGGGCGGGTTTTTCTTGGGCTCGTTCCATTTCTCAGGGACCCGGCAGGCATCTCTCGCACCGCACGCAAGACTCCAGTGGTTGATTTTCCATTCTTCTCGATCATCGTTCTTTGCAAAAACCTGCCGTTTCCCTGGGTTTCTGGAGGTTTTTGGTCGGATCCCTGGAAAGAATGGACATGGAAGGTAGCCCTAGAATAAGCGTACCAGCTTTTTGCTTTTTTTGCCTTTGTTAGTAGGGGAACCCTCCCAACCAAAAAAAAGTTGGTAAAAGGACCTAGACAAGGATCTGAGGTATTTGCCCAACACAAAACAGCATGGTTAGTTGGACCCGAGTTACTGGGGGACCAACCAGAAAAAACATCGCAGAGGATGGCTTCGTGCACGTGACCGCCACCCCGGCCTCCGCTGCGCGGGACTTCTTTCGCAAGAAGTCCTTCGCCTCCTACGCGCTCTTGTGGCGCCTGCCTGAGGGGAGAGTTGAGAGTTGAGACCGGTTTTTCGCTTGTGCTCTTTTTTGCATGGGATGCGAGGTTTTTGTGGGGTTGAGCCGTTTTTCAGGGGAGACCAAGAGGAAACCATGGCCATTTTAGGGGACCGAAGTCCCAGGAACGCCCGGTAGATGGCGTGCCCTGTTTTTACGGGACCCCAAAACAGTGGTGTTCTTTTTGGTTTTCACTTGAAGCAACCCCACATGACAGACCCTTGTCTTAGTGTTTGCTCGCTTGCGCTTGCTCGCGCTTGAGGTGCTCCCTGCCTCTTCTGGTGCTTGGCATAGCAGCCCCCAACCTCTTCGCAGTGGCAAGGCTCGCAAGATTTTGGCGGACGGATTGAAGACCATTTCGCGCTGAAGAAAGCAATGGAGATGCTCAGGCTGATTCCGACCATGATGGACTGGCTTGCTGCCATTCTGGGAAGGCATGACTTTTTTGTCCGGAGTCGACGGGTCTTCGGCCGCGGCTACGGCCAACGCGTTGTGCTGAAGGAAACAAACGGCTGCTCGCCGTCTGAAGGGGTTCAAGACCTGGTGCCGAGCGTCCGAGCCCCCAGCAAGCTCATGGGCGTGCGTTTTTGTTTGAAGGCGCCCTCTTTGGGGCTGGTTGAAAGGGAAGCCAAAAGGAAACACCATTTTTTCTTTTTTCCGGGGACAACTATTTCGACACGCACACACACACACACACCCAAATGAAGCAACATGTGCCAGCACGTTCCACCATCTTTCAAGAAGATCACCTGGACCTTGATTTCACCCACAGCTGCGAATCGAAAACCCACCGGCTGCAGACCGCCGGACTGGTCGACTGGTCCGGTCATCGACTTGAGAGCCATGCCATTAGCTTTCAGAGCCATGCCTCCAGTGTCGCTCAGACCGAAGAGCACGAGGCCTTGCTGAGATGCCGCATGTGCCGTGGGTGGGATGGGTGGGGTTTGGTGGGGTTTGGTGGGGGTGTGGGGTGTGGTGAGATTTCTAACGCGGCAGGTTTTGGAGCAGAACACGGTCTGTTGAATATTTCACGACTCATGGGGTCCAAAAAAAATGCAGGCCCAAGATGCGGCGCAAGGTGCTGGTGATTGGCGCCTTGGACACAGGTTCTTCAATCAAGACAAAGTTGTATGCGAGGCTGTCATGCATGCTGTCAGGCATTGCTGGGTGCAGTGGTTGCGGCAAAAGCACTCTGGCACAGAAGCTGGTGCAAAGCTTGGGTTCTCCACTCGCACCGGTCAGCCTGGACTGGTACTTGATCCCAAAATGGATGCCCAAGGCCATGCGGGGTTCGAGGATATTCGGACGCCTTTGGGGGGGGGGGGTGAGGAGGTACTGCTTGAAGGTTGGTGTGCACTTTGAGCACCTGGTGGAAAACGTCTCCATTTTTAGTGGAGTTTTCCCCAATGGTCATCCTATGTATCACGGCCCTTCTGATCAACCCTCGCCAGTTTGGAGCGTTTTGCTTTGTGACCACCCCCTTCTGCTTGGGGTGGCGTTTGGGGGAGCGATCAGGTGGCATCCTACGGTCGCAATTGGGAGACGCCCGAGGGCGTAGACTGGAAAATGATGCGGCAGAACATTCAGACGGCCGTGGACGTGCTTTCACAAGCAGACACGGCATCGCACTCAGGTTAACACAAATCTGAGTTGGAGCCACCTCAAAAGTAATTGGTGAACATGACTCCCGCCGAATATTGATGTGCAAGAGGTCCCTTATTCAAGTTTGCACTCAGCTGTGGCAGTTTTGGGCATGCTCGACCGCAATTAAGGTGCCCGAAGTGCTGAAAATGGGCCCGGACAATGCAGACGTAGTGCAGAAGGGCCAGGCAAGAGAGTGTCGAATGGATGCCGGACACGCCATGTTTTTGTTGTGTTTTTTGTGGCTTTTGCTGTTTTTGCTTCTTCCCCCCTTTTTTCCGGGCACCTGCAACCCATGCCCAAGCCTAATCACGCCTTAGAAAATCCAAGCCAAGCCAAGCCCACCCTAAACCAACCCCAAAGCCACCCTAAACCGATCCAAAGCCTGACCCAAACCATTAACACATCTTAGCATAAGCAATACGTTAAAAACCATCTCAAACGCATCCCTAAGGCTACCCTAAACCCACCCAAACCAACCCTAAACCAACCCTAAACCAACCCTAAACCAACCATGTCAAATCGCTGAAGGCGGGTTGAACATGTGTCCAGGGTAGGTTTGAAGTTTTGCTGGTGCTTGGGAGCGAATGCAAGACTTGTGGAAACTCGTTTGTTTGATCTTTCTGAGGACAACTGACATCCATGAAACATACACGCTCCTATCCAAGACTGAGAACACCAGCAGCATCATTAGGGACCGACGCTGAGGATGCCGGGAATGTTGGGGATGTGGAGGCTTAAAGGGACCCCAGCCAAAGGCCGGCCAGTTTGGAGATACCCATTTTGAGCCCCTTCGCAGTGATAGATGCCAGGCCGGCAGTCCGTTGGACGAGAAGACGGTGGTTCTCGTAGTTGCTGCTGGTTGCAAAATCATTTGATTTTTGCCCGGTGTTTGTTCATGATGAGATGGTGGTTTGTGAGAATGACCCCTCTCTCACAGTTGATGAGCAGTCGGGAGTGACAATTCTTTGGTGCATTTAACTTTTTGCCAACTATAATAATGGGTTTTCCATTAAACCACTAAAAGTTAAACTTTTCGCAGGGGAGCAGAAAGCAACCGAGAATTGGTGTTTTCATGCAGGCGTGGGAGAGCCCTGAACATCCTGTGGCAGTGAGTGCTACGCCCAGGAAGGCTTCTTGCTCTTCTACGATGACATACTGGCCGAGATGCTGCACATCAAAATTTGGGTGGAGGCCAGTTTCCAGTGTCTCAGCTTAAGCTCCTTGAGCATCAGGCGAACCACGGGGCCGAGTGTTTCAGCTATTTTCCAGCAAGCCTTAGATTGGAGGTCTGTCCCCTGATTTGTGAGATGGGGGTATGTCCCCTGAGATGGGGGTATGTCCTCTATGATTTCCCGAGGACATGCCTGCAAAGACGGCACAAGCGAGGCAAAGCTTCAAGAAAGAGGGATGTTGGAGATTCTGAAGCGTGGTTTCGGGACTTGATATGGGCGTATTATGAGCAGTACAAGTCGAAGCAGCTGAACAACGCTGTGAATGCCCTTCATGTGGACGGTGACGTGTGCAAGGAAGATCTTCTCTCGCAATGCTTGCCATACTGCAGAAGGATGGTTGCTGCCAGAGTGCAAGTGGTATTGCTGCCACACCAGAAGGGGGCACACTCCGAAGACCGATGTCTCCGGCCTGCGCGAGCCAAGCGAGCCCTGGAAGAGCCCAGCGACAGGCAACCGCCTCGACTTCGACCGAGACAGGTTCCTCGCACCAGTGGATCACACGCTGCTTACTATTGATCCGCTGGCCCGATGCTGGATGCGTGATCGAGGAGTGACAGCAGCACGCTGGACAGACTCATCCGGCTGTGGGTCAAAACCAATGGGACCATTTTGGGGTAGGCGCACCACCCATTTTCGTCTATTTTAGTGAGGATTCGGACGTTCACTGGGGATGCGGGCTTTTGACCCATGGCCATATGCCGGATGAGTGATCGAGGATCGACAGCAGCACGCTGGACAGACTCATCCAGGTCTTGGCAAAGATCCTTTGACTCTCTGAAGAGAGGGCTTCAGGTATGCTGGATGGTGCCAGAGATCGTCCGCCCTGCGCAAAGCACCAGGGACCAAGTATGCAGGAAAAGCGCGACTGGCAAACCCAGAACTTTTGTGTCAACCTGGCAGAACGTCCTCTTATTCAGGGTTACTTGTTTGGCTCACGGCGTCCTTAACGACCCCGTGGAGTTCTTTGTTTTTTGGACGTTCATCCCGGTTCGGGGGGGATGGGTGGGCGGGGGGGGAGGGGGGGTGGGTGGGGGGGTATGATAAGCACACCCGCTCAACTGCTGCAGACCAGCCTGCTCTTTTACCGGATTACAAAAAAACATGGTTCTGGGGGGGGGGGTTGGGGGGGGGGGGCGTGATAAGCACACCCGCTCAACTGCTGCAGATGCGTCTTTCGCCCCTGAGGCATTCACTGGCCCAACCTTTGGCTCCAGGACCATGGGTCATCATTTTGTTCTCGCTCTTTGTGTTGCGTACGTTCTGCTGCTGCGTGTCGCGTGTGCACCCTGCCCCATTGTTGACTCGTGGTTCCAGGCATTTTGGACGTGTGATCCGTTCTTGTTGGACGCTCACTTTGAAGTTTTCGCTGGTAGTTCGTCTGATCCTTTCGCGCATTTTGCGGCATCTGTTGGTGCGATATCTGCTCGAAGCCCTTTGTCCTGGTGTCGGTTACCTGCTGCACTGCCGTGTCTTCGCGCTGCCTGGCTGACGCTCTCGCGCGCCCGCTCCCCGCTTACCCCGGCTTTGCGTGCTGCCTGCGTTGTTCTATCCCGACGTTTGTTGGTCATCAACTTCACTTCTGCACCTTGAAAAAAAAGAGAGGCCGGCAGCCTCAAGAAACGCGCGTGTGTTGGCCAGCAGCGCGAAGTGCTGCTATTCTCAGGCGATTTGGCCCTTTCTTGTCAAAGCCATGGTAAAAATGGAAGAACATAAACATGGTGCGTGTCAACGATGCAACGAAATGTTCATAAAAAGCAGGAATTTTGGTAAACGTGCTTGGTCGCCATGGTCAAAAGCAGCGTGGTCATTAGCAACGCCGTGACCTTGTTTTGGGCTTCTCTTGCTTTAGGATTGAGGATTATTAGAGGGTTCTTCTTCCAAGCTCCTTTTTTTTGCCGGGGGTCCCCGGATCGCGTGTTCCTTGCCCGCCCGTCTTTTGCCAGGCTTCCACGTGCTTACGTTAAGTCAGCCCCTGCGGTGATCCTCTTCCTGACAGGCCCAGGTGAGACTTGCTGCGTGCGTTTGTAGCTTGATGGGTCCTCTGTGTTTGCCAGCTGCCTCATGAGAGCCCTTGCGCACAGGCTTAGCGCTTTATTTCTTCCGCCCTAGCATTCCGTGGAAGAGGCCGACCAGGCACGCGCTTCAATGAGTTTAGCTCACTGCAAACCGCATTTGCATGCTGCACAGTGCATTTGCGAGCTGCACGACATGCACGAAAGTACATGCCGCGCCTGCTCAAGCTTGTGCTGTATTGGTAGGAGTCACCTTGTGTGATACTTGGTTATTCAGAGCGATGCTGGCAGCAGTTGCTCATGCTTCTGGCCTCGTGTTTCCGATTTCGAGTAGCCAGAACAGCAGCTCGGTATGTGAAGCACTTGTGCGGGGATCTCGACAAGTCTTTGGGGAATTTCATAGTGCGGGCACGATGTGTGTCTTAAAGTAGGGGACACCAAAGAATGGCTAGTTTCCTTTTGGTTTCCCTCCAAAGCCACTCCAAAAAGGGGTACCAACTCCAAAAACAGAGACACACAGGTGCAAGACTGGCTCACCAATGTGGCTGGCAAGCTCAGGCTTAGATTGAATGCAAGTTGCGCTAGCGTCACCCGGCCTATAGTGACAAACTCCAAGAGGAACCTTCCAAGCAATGTCCACAAATGAAGGTGATGGGCTGTGAGACTGAACAAGACCCCTTTGCGAGGGAGGGGTTCGGATGAGTGGCTTATCTCTACCTCCAAACACTGGCCAGCGTTGAAGAATCACGGTTCTGACATCTGTCAAAGCGAAGTGACATTGTTCTTCATGTGTCGGAGTTCGTTATCTCCAATGCCTATTTTTAATCCATGGATTTAGCCTCTCAACCAAACCAACCCAACAATTGAGTTCATGAGAGATCTGCCGAAGCTCTTGGCAAAATCCCAGCTGTGCGCATAATGCAGTACCATGGAAGCGCATGGCAAGACGCATGCCGTGAATACCCTATGCAGATTTTCAGTGCCTCTTAAGTGCCGAGAGATTCGACATGAACAGATGGAAGCTTGGGTTTACACAAGCGCCGCAACACTTGACCATTTTTAGGTAGCTTGCACACGCTGCTAGCATCAGCAAGCGGAATTGTGCAGCCATCACTAGGAATTGTGCTCAAGTGCCCAAAGTGCCTGGCGCCATCTTGTGCCATAAAGAGAAGCAAAGTCCGCAAAAGGGAGGCCCCACGTGCCGTTCCCCAAACATCACTGGATACCGCTCCCCAAACATTCTGGGTTCCGAGGCTCTGAAAGGCGCGCAAGTCTTGACGGGGCCAGAGCAAAGGTCGGGAGGTTCTTGTAAGGCAAAAAAGAGCCGTATGCAGACCAGGGTGGACATGGGGGTTGATCAATATTCCTGGCCCCCAAATGACCATGGGGAAGTTTTCCCATTTGGTGGCGAACTTCTTTCTTTTTGGGTGGTTTTCCTACTGGTTACCCCATCTAAAGGACCTTTTGATCTATCCGCATATGCATTTTGAGTCGAGGTATCACCAAGCTGGCAGTGGCACCCCGCGATTGGCGATCAGGCCGCTTTCGAGTTCCGGGCGGCACTTTATAAGATCTTGCTTCATCGAACTAGTAAACAGAGACCTCAAAGAATCCTGTGCTGTTAGATAAGGACAGGACCAAAGGTGGCACATGACATGTGGGCCCTTTTTGAAGCACAGCCGTGGTTTTATTTTAGCAGATGCTTGCCACAGGCCAGTGCTTGGTGGCCTTCCTGCTTCTAGGCAGCAAGGACTTAGGGGGTCCTCAGGTGCTGTCTTTCTGCGGGTGCAATATGTTGTTCTACTTTCAGCAGTTGCGGATGTTGGGCAATGAAGCGAGTGTTTTGCCTCAGTTCATCCAGAAAGCCTTCTCAGGCTGCTAGGGAGCACCCGTCGTCTTCAAACTGCCCGTGCTGCAGGCCTGTTGGGATTCTGCGGCAAGATTGCTACAGATGGAAGTGCTCCACACATGTTGCTTTTCATTGCAGGCAAAACAGTACCGAGAAGCAAGCACTGCTCCCCGTGTGCCGTCAGGAAACAAAGGAAACATACACCGAACAGCTCCTCGCGGCGATGGAGGCTCGGCCCTCGGCTGCCGGATGACAACATCGGGGATATCTCGCTGTTGCTCAGTAGGGAATCAAGGATTGAACCTGGTGATCTTCGAAAAAAGGAACCAATATTGTCATTCCATTTCTCCTTCCCTACTTCTTAGCGCTCGCCAGTTCTTCCTGACTTCTTTGCTGAGAGGCCACGGCAGACAGCCGGTGAAGCTGTTGGATCTGCAGCCCTTGAAGCGCTTCACGCAGAGGATCCTCAACTTGCGGGGGGAGTCAGATGTGCTGAAGGGCCAGTTGGAAGAGGCGCAGATGGAGGCCGGCCTGAACGACGCGGCCGCCCTGGAGATGCAGCGAGCTTTCGAGGAGGAGGCGGGGCCAGCCGCTGAACAGCTGCTGGGTCGGTCAAACGAAGTGTTAACCTCCTGTTGGTGTCCTTGTGGTCAATCAAATCTTGCCCAAGCCAGGTGGAATACCAGAAGGCAGCGCAGGAAATGATCGGCCGCCAGTTTGTGAATGCCCAGTCAAGCCATCTCAATGTGCTGAAGCGGTTGGAGGACGCAGACTGGAGCCAAATTAGTTGCCCAGAGCTTCCGCATTTTCTTCCAGGTCTTCACGGGTGAAGGGTGTCAGCATTGCCCACATTGAGCTTTAACATGGTCTTAGGTTGGAATGACCGAACGAGTTGTGAAGTTTTGTGAATGCTGGCTGCTACTAGTGCTGCTGGTGCTGGTGCTGCTGGTGCTGGTGCTGCTGGTGTAGTTGTCGTTGTAGACATAGTGGCAAAGGCAGTGGAGTGGCAGTGGCAGTGGC